ATATAATAGTCAACGCCCTTTGGAACATCTATCTGTCTAATTCCCGCCTGAATTTCTCTTATTCACTCGCACCCACTGACGCACACACCCAAGAATGTGCGTGATCGAAGCTTTTAGAATAGTAGTTTATTCAAACTCTTGGTTCAGTTATTACTTCCCAGAGACTGCATATTGCGGTGGGGAGTTGAACAAAAGCAAATAAGCCTGAGCAGACGTCTGCAAGAGGGATAACTTATTCAACCTCAACGTGTGACATACTCGGATGCGATTGATGAGACCATTTTTAATGGAAGAATTCTTGATTTTAAATTATGCTTGGCTTACTGTTAAACAGGTTTGTCTACTATGTCCAGTGAAGATTCTACAGTGGAAAGAGAGTGGGCCAATGCCACACCCGAATCCTGTCTGGCACCTTCGTTGAACCCTCTACCACTTTTTATCGAAGAACAAATCAGACACTGTTCTGCTATTCCTGACGTTAGTATTAACCTTTTGATTTTGTTTTGAAGTTAACCTCTCTTGTGGTCCAACAGCTTGGCAAAATAGATTAGAACTCCACTACTATGAATGAAAAGTTATTCCGTTTTAATTAAGTGAAGTAACGTACTTATATTAAGACTCATTCCTAAATTGTATATACGATAGCGGTGTAGTATGAAAATGAAGACGCTGCTTGGATTCTCCCCTCCTCCGCAGAAAAAAACTTGCGCCCACCAAGTGCAAAACCCCGTTTTCAGAGTTCCAGAAACGCCATTGACTATATCGTGTCAGAGTTTTGCTCGTCAGAATCCATCTTGCGCATTTATATATTTACCATTCCTCCGTACGTTGAATAGCTTCTGTTCTATCTAACCTGTTACTCTTGCTATAAATCTCCAGATTCTTGACCAAATCCAAAGAAGAGTATGTAATGTTATTGGTCCTTACCTGGCATCTCGACTTCAGTCACGTGCCTACCGCCGTGCCTCCCTTCTGTCTTTTCTATAAATCTTTTCATGAACTTCATAATGAAATTCCCCCTTGATACTCACACTCTTTTGGGTCCTGTCACTGGTTAAGGCGGTGGAGAACTTGGAGTGCGGAATTAACAGGAGATAACTAATAACTGACATACATTAGACATGGCACGTGGAACTAGAAGAATCTACCACAGTGAGCGAAATAAAGGATTCAGCTCGACATTCCAACCACCTGAAGAAGGCCGGAGCGTACAACGGCCAAAACGTTGTGATAAATATGGCAACAAAGATGAAAACAATAGTCCGAATAATGTAAATAGTGTACATAATACCTCATCTCAGAAATATAGACATATAATGAAAGGCCGAAACGTTGTGATAAATATGGCAACAATGAAGCCAATAGTCCGAATAATGTAAAGAGTGTACATAATACCTCATCTCAGAAATATAGACAGACATTAAATCGTTATTGCTTCATACTTTTTTTTTAACTGTAAACGTTTTGAATTTTTTAAATTTAAATATCTTTTATTTTTATTTTTTAAATTAGTGTTATTTAAAAATATGTGTTGAATATGTTTTAAAAATCGCACATTAGTGTCTAAAATATCATGACGCGTATTTGATATCGGGACTCAAGTACTGGAATATGTTCCATGGAAGTGTGAAAGTCACAGGTCAGAGAAAGCGTTATTAGTGTTTTCAAACTTTCTCATCTGTCAAAATTGGCTTTGTTTTTGCCATAATGTGACATAGTTGTTCGAAGCAGTTGCCCGTAACCCCAGCAAGTGGCGCCTCTTCATCGAGACCCCATCCAGAAGCCTCAAAGCTGTGCTACTTCATAACGGGAATATGTATGCATCTCTTCCCCTGGCTTACTCGGTGCTGCTCAAAGAGGAAAACAGCATTGTCAAAATCTTACTAGATGCCTTGAACAATGAAGAGTACACTAGTACACTAGTACGCGAGAAGCCACTAGGACGCAAGGGGTTACAGAAAATTTGGAGCAAGATCAGATAGGAGTGATAGAAGAAAGGATGAGGAGAAAGTTAATGGATAGATCAAGGCAACTGGAGATGTCGATTGACATTACATTTGAATAGTTGGAGATTATAGCTCTCAGGGAAACAGGAAAAGGGAAGGGAATTCCACTGGCGAGAGGTGCGAGATATGAAGCTATTGGAGTAGAAGAGACGGCTACATTTAATAGTTTCGACAGTGAAGGGGTGAGAGCGGGATGCCAGTCTCGTAGGGCGCTTGAATTCATGAAGTTTGGGAACCAGCGAATGCAGCTTCTCGGAGCAATTGCCATGAAAGTATTTGTAAAACAGACAGAGAGAGGCGACTGCGCGTCTGTGAGAAAGTGACTGTAGATGAGATGCCAGAACAGGGCCAATTATATTGCATATCCGCCTCTGGAGCCTATCAAGAATCCCGAGGCAAACAGGAGGGGCTCCAGACACTTGTTGGGTTATCGGAATACTCCAAAATGGTTGCCTTCATGATGGCTCACCAAGGAGGCTTTTTCAACTTTCCGT